CAATAAGCAGAATGAAGATACGTTTTTTACTAAATGAAAATATTTTTCCAATATTTAGAACCTTGGTTGTTGCCATTTTTTGGCAAGAACTTCTTCAATTTCATATTAATCTTGTATTCAATAAATTTCTTAAATCATCTTCATAGTCATTTTCGGGAACTTATTAATAACTTTATTTCTAATTTCATGGATGTGCTTTTTTTTCTTAGGCTATATTTGACATTGACATTGAAAACTTCGTTATATCGGATTGATTCCGGCCAAAAATTTGATTAATTGATTTAATTTTATATTATCAAAAAGTTGTACGGAAATAAGAATTAAAAGTATTAACACTTATCAATGGAAATGAATAAAAAATATTAAATTTTGTGTTTGAAAAAATATCATTTTATGTTGAATATTTAAGAAAGTAATTGGACAATTAACTGATTTTAATAATTAACAGCAGAAATATTTTTTATTATATTATATATAATCCAATTGAATAAAATTAATATTCAAGAAGTTTTCTACTAGTTCATTATTATGTAAATTGAGTATCACTTTTAATTGCTTTCAATTAAATCGCTACAGTTCAAGCAACTTTAAATAGAACTTTAAATACTGGTAATTTTATTTTCGTTTTGATTACTTATGAATAGTAATTAATAATTAATTCTAAATTAACACTAAAAATAGATTTTAACGTGTATCTTAGTGTAAAACATGACTAAAACAATACAAAAAGTATTGATTTCAATTGATCTATTCACTTTCAACTATTCAAGCGGAACCCTTTCTCTTTTGAGAAAAAAGTGCGGTTCCCATATTCGCGGTCAAAAATATGTAAAATATTTGAATTAGGATTCAAGAGTACATATTTTGCTGTTAAGTCATCATATACGGAACCACCAAAAAGGTCCTAGACTTCCTTTAAACGGAAAATATCTTTTTCTGAATCGTTACTGAATCTAAAAAAATAAGATTATTTATTATTACTATTTGATTTTATAATCATATCATATTCAAGAAATATTTGTATTATTATGTTATTTATCGTTAAATTATACAATCATATACAATTTGAGAGGTTTAATAAAAATTGGTTACATCTACAATCATGATTCATTTTTCAAAGATACCTAATGATTCTAAATATTTATTAATTAATATTTTTCCCCAACTTTTAATGCGAAATAACATATATTATATACCTATTTCAGTTCAACGTCTCAGTGAAACGGCTAAAGGCCTAAGATGTCGATGCCTCAAACAACAACAAAAAGTATATACAGGGTGGCCCAATTGAACTGCAACTTTTCAGTACGCTGTATTTTTTTTATTTGAATTAGGATTTTATTGAATCACAATGAAAAAATGTACGAAAACAATTAAAATTTTCGAATTAATTTAAAATTATCGATGCGAACTATGGTTCTAGTTGGTCGATAAGCGAGTCGCACGCTGTACGAATGTGAACCTGCGGAATTTTCGTCCATTCACGAAGAAGGGCTTTTTGGAACACATAATCACTCTTTTAGTGCTGTAAAATGGGGGTACGCGACAGCTCGGCGACGGACAAGTGGGTGACGGACAAGTCGGTGACGATCAAGTCGGCGACGGATACTCAAAATATATTTTTAAGAAACTCACTTATAGTCATTATTATATTAATAATAACAAGTTATTGGGTAAAAAATATAATATAACATAAAAACTAAATTAAAATTTATATAAAGACTTAGATCTATTATTAATGTATTTGTTTTCATTAACATATCCATTACAAACCTTAAATTCAAAAAAATAATCTAAAATATAATAAGATTATTAATTGTTGTTATTTATTATTAACAATTAACAATAAATTATTATTAATTTATTTCATTTTGTTGAATTATTCATAATAAACCATAACAATAAGAAATAATCGAAAATACAATTGGATTATTAAATGTTGTTATTAATTATTAACCATTGCCGACTAGTCCGTCGCCGAGCTATCGCGAACCTTGTAAAATGCCCCATACCGAGAAGTCAAGCGGAATTGCATCTGGTCACCGTGGAGGCAACTGTGCGGTCGAAATGAAGTGTGGAACGTTATCTCTCAACCATTGTGGATTTCGCGTGCTTTGTGTGATGGTACAGAATCTTCTTGAAACGTCCTCTCTTTCTGACTAAATTGTTTGGTTGCCCTTCCATCACCTTCCACAATTTTTCGTGGTAGATCTTTTTCTCAACAGACAAGATGATATTTGGCAATTGAACGCGTTCGTGCAAGCGCAACAGCTTCTTCCCTCTATCAAGAATAGGTTTTTTTTACTAGACGTTTCCTAGATGTTTTAAAAGCTGAAAATACCCATATCACCAAATTGTTTTTATGTTATTTAAAAAAAAAACCTAACCGAAACTTGACCAAGACCACTGGATATGAAAATACCCATATAACAAAATTGTTTGTATATATTTTTAAACATAAAACCTTAAGGCAACTTCACCTAACCTAACATTTTCTCGGACCTACGGTACTAGAATGGATAAGAAAATAAATACGTCTATAAATTATTGAGATGTATTTCTAAAATAAAACCAAAATCAATACATGCAAACCAAAAAGAGACATTGAGATAACGTGTAGTCATACGTTATCTCTCTCGCACCCACTGAAATACCAAAACTACTCGTTGGTGGAGAAACCAGTTTCCGTTTTTTTTTAACATCGTCATCTTTTCGTTTTTGGGACATGTATGGTTATCAGCTGAGTAGCCATTTGTATTCCACTTGGTCGCGGATAACATTTAATTCGAGCCTTAACTCGCAGAAACACTTTTGCCACAGATGTAGTTTTTTCCAATCACCAAAATAGCATTTTGTAAAACTACTAGCTTCGTTATTCACATTGAGGTGTTCGAGAGCTCTAACAATAGTCACTTTTGGTTTTTCGATCAAATATACACATTTTTATTACCTCTGATTTATCTATCGTATTTACAACTATTTCTGCTCTAAATTAAGTAATTTCTAGTTTAATTAACCATAAAATAATTTAGATTACAAATTTGTAAAACATATAGAATAATAAACAGCAATAATTGAATATTGAAAATATTGGTAAATAATTTTATCATTATTTCAACGATGTAATGAGTTAATAAACTAGTGGTTTAGATTCGCTCGCAAATATATAGTTTGAATTGAATTATTAGATCAATGTGTATATTGTAGTAAATGAACGTGGGATTTAACGTCCATAAACAATGCTATTTTAGGAAACACGATTTTAATAAAACATTATAAAATTAAATAATTTATTCGCATATTCAATTACAGAACGCAATTACGGTAAACTTCCTAATAAAGCATTTCGCGTTAAATTTGCTCGACTAGTTTATGCAAAGTGCATTATCATTTTGTAACATGTTTATATTGCATTAGCTCAAACCTATTGATTATAGTTGATTAATAATTCAAAACGTCAATAAATCAGTATAATATATAATATGTACAATATTTATAGGTCGTTACAAGTCTAAAATACAAATTCTCATAATTTCTTATTAAAAATTCCAAAGGTATACAGTGGAACCTCGCTTAACGAGCATAATCCGTTCCAAAATTTTCGGATTTTTACTCGTATAATGAAACAATTTTCCCCATATAAACTAATGTAATATACGATAATGCATTTCATTTTTGAGTCTTACAATTTATTTTACTTGTTAAGTAAAATGTTCGTTATACGAGGTCCTCGTTAAGCGAGATTTCACTATATATTGATTGTTATAGGAAAAAAAAATAAACAGAAATAATCTAATTTGGTTCTTATTAATATGAAATATATTTTAGTACTATAAGAAAAATATTTACAATTTGTCATAAGCAAAATATATATTTACAATGATTTGTTTTGTAACTGGAAGTACCATGTGAGAACAACTTTATCAATACTAAAAAAACGTATATAAACAGGAACGAATAGCATAATTTGTATATTCAGTGCATAACTAGTAAATAAGCAACAACAGCCAGAAGATGTCTTCAACTATCGTTTGCGATTGCCTAAAATCGACGGAAATCAGAACTCACGCCATGGAGGTTACCATTAGGTCGAACCTAAAAGGAAAGGAAAGACAGCAGATGTTTAATAAATGTGTCAAAGGTTTGGTTCTGCAATATATGAAGCAGATGAACATCAGTCCTAGGAAAAATTGGAGACAACCGCTTTGCATTTTCTGTGATATGAAACGCACAAAATTCTCAACTTCTTTTATGAACTTAATGTGAAATGGTTTTATAATAAGAAATATTCATATTTATTTATAATTTTATATAAATGTATTTTATTGACTTTACAGTTTCTAAATAAAAATATTTTCATATGACCATGAAAAGATAATTTATCATTAAAATAGTCATCCAAATCCCTAAAGAGACATGAAACAGACTTAAATACCTGTTGGTACTTTAATGTAATCTTTATATTGTATACAAAAAATATTTGTTTTACAACTGGAAGTACCTACATTCAAGTAATGTTTGTCACTGTATGGGTTTAAGAAACATTGATAGGCAACTTAATTTTAATGTGTTTTGAAAGAAATCCAAAGAAAAAAATATTTATTTTTTATTTTAAATTCGTTTTCAGTGTAAGAAATAGCATTCACAATGGTAATAAGTTCCTTCGCAAAATTAAATTAATAAATATTTTTCAATCCAAGATTTATTAAATAACGGTTTGTGTGTAAGTTACAAACTGAAATTACACTTTAAAATATATATTAAAAGTTGATTTTAGTTTTATCTCTCTTTCATTCAACAAATGCATATACTGAGCTTCGTTGTTAGAATTAAAGTAAACTTAGATATGACTATAATATCTTATAATTTAGTGAAATTCTTGACTTTCTTAATCAGAATGTTTCATAAAACTTAATTTGTTCATCTTTCATTGATTTTCACCTATATTCACTCACTTTTTGTTGTTCATAGTCATTAAATTTGTATTTTTTTTCTTGCAGACCCACGAGATCCGTATCTTCTAAAATTGTACGTAACGTCGATTATGGTATGAAATGCACATTATATTTCAATATAAAATATTTAAAGTTTCTTAGAAATAATTCAAAATTTTGTAATGGAAACATATTATTTGACTTATTTTACAAAAGAATTTTGATTCAATTAGATTAGAGTTCAAAATAAACTATATTTTAATTGACAAAATAAAAATAAATTCTAAAAATACTAAGTAAAATTATATTTCTTTACATCAGTGGCGGAACTATATAAATCCCGCAAAAAGGGGCCCAAACAAAAAATGTTGAGAGTCCTTACATAGTAAAACTAACTGTTGTCTAGGACCTACGACTTTCTTAAAATAGCCCTACAAGAACTAACACTAGACCTCAACCCTGGCGTTTATTAACTACATCACATCGTTTACATTTCTATATTTAATACTCTACTAATAATGTTCTAATACAGTCTTGATACTCTTATACTCTCTTGATACTGTTTAACTAATACTTTTTCTCCATGCTTAACTCCCGAGCTAACCTCATGGTGTTCAATGTTGCCACCTTTCATAACTGTTGCGCTCAAACAACAGTAGAAAGCCAGTTTGCTTCGGACGTGCTGACCCGCGTTATATGATAACCGAATTGTACCAAATTATAATTTTATTAATTTAAAGCAACACATTTTGAAATTTACTTTATAATTTTCATATATCATATAAAAATATAAATAAAAAAAAAACAATTCTGTTCACATAATTCATAAAGTATAGAATTGATATTTCTTTCAAAATAATAATATTTAAATTAGTAATATTTTTTATTACTTATCATACACATTTAGCAACGAATATATTAGGAATTTTTAACACATTCACTTCACATCCAAGATGATAGATGTATTATAAATTAAATTTATAATTAATTATATTTTAATTAAATTTTTTCCCATGTCCTGTTTTTATGTATGTATGATGTTCTCTTTTAGTACTATTATGTTTTATCACTTTATTTTTTTTCGTTATTTTGTTTTAGTTGTTCTGTTGTATAACGTTCTGTTTTATCAAGTCCTGATATGTCATGTTGTATGCTTATGAAATCTGGTTGGTCCTGTCCCAAAAATAAATAAGGTGGTCTGAGAATATTTCAAGATTTACTAAGTGTTTAGTTGCAGAAAAAGTTTGGGGAAAACCTCAACCGAACTGTGCGAGGATCTGCTGTACTCAATTATTTACTTCAATGATTGAAATTTGTCATTTACAAATATGATCAGACTACTTTTTAGAAGTGGATATTTGCTAATACATTTAGAATAGTTTAAATATTACTATATTTTTAGTTTGAAATGATTATAAATAATATAATACATAATTATCCTAGATTGATAAAAAAAATATTCCAAGAACTTATTGAAAATATTTTATTAGCTTACAGTTAATGTGACACTTGTTTATGTAAATTGTCTGTTATCTTTTTCGTATCAACTGGTAGTTTTGTGACTTTCTTAGAATATTTAAGAAAAATCTTTACGGTTACAAATGGAAAATTAATTGAATTATTTAACTGTAATTTATTTTCATAAAGCTAGAGTTTTGTTAGGAAGGATTTTATATCTTGATAATATTCTGTTATTAGCTTATTTTCAGCTTCCTATTTAAATCATTTAATTTAATTATTACATCTGTTAGAAAACATAAATCTAGAAAGCCGAAAACTTCAATTAGGTTTGGTCATGTCTAAACGAAATTCAGTGGAAACTGGCTTAACGAACATATTAAGTTGCAAATTTTTCCGGATTTTCACTGCGTTCTATTTTTGTCATTTTTCTTGCAATTTATTTTGCTTGTTATGGGAGGTTTTTTGTATATGATAGAATTTTGATAAGGTCTACCCTGTATATTATAACCAACAAAAGCACATTAAACAGATGTAAAGCAAAATTAGATAAAATAAAGTAAACGTTTCAGGTGTATCGTAAAAATAAGGGACTATATGCAAATGCAAAATATATGTTAGGTACGTTTTAATTCGATGGTTTAGTCCTCTCATTTTATTCTTCGTGTTTTTTTTTATTTTTCGTATGTGTCTGAATTTTTAAGAGCTCAACCGTTGCGTGTTTTACATCGAAACAAATTAACTCGGCTCCCGCTCAGAAACTCTGTATGGAAGAATAAACGTTTCGTTGCATTAATAAATCACACCTAAATGAATTGCCTCAGCCATGAAATTAATAATAAGCGGGGTAAAATAAGTAAACGCCATTCGCGAATAATAATCTATTATGTTCACCTTTAATTAGTGATAACTTAGAAAGAAGTTGGATGGATGGAGGTGGTTGCGAGCATAAAGCAATGTCTTTATGTTTATGCATTTTTTGATGAAAATTACAAACAAATAGATTAGTGCGCACGACAAAAATGGAATGAAGATCAATAATCATATCAATCAAAATGTAGGGTACAAGTGTTTTACAGATTTAAGTTTATTTAGTTACAAGGTGATCGTTGGCCAATGAGGATATAATATGAATTTATAATAGATGTTTAATTAATAAAATAAAAATTATCTCTATCAGTTATAATAAGCCAGCCAACAAATTAAAAATCAAATCATCATAATGGTAACTATCCACCGGGAAATATTATCTATTTAATGTCAACCGCGATCTTAAATTTTCTCAATGTTCACATTTATGAACAGATTGTGAATAAAATTATACGACATAAAAAAATATGTGTATTTTTAAATATGTTTCACTATACAGGTCAAAATCCGGAAATTTTGGAACGGACTCGTTAAGCGAAGTTCCACTGTATTTTAGTTTTATTTTATAAAATTAAACTTACCTTTTTTAACAAGTTATAAACTTTTGGTCGAAAGTAAGTATATTCCCTACTACAAGGACTTTATGATCCTTAATTACACTTTAATTACTTTCTATCTATATCAATACTCAAAAAAAACGTATATAAACAGGATCAAACAGCGCTATTTGTACATTCAGCGCAAAACTAGTAAAGAAGCAATAACAGCTAGAAGATGTCTTCAACTATCGTTTGCGATTGCTTAAAATCAACGGAACTCAGAGCTCACGCCATGGAGGTTACTGTTAAGTCGAACCTGAAAGGGAAGGAAAAACAGCAGAAGTTTAATAAATATGTCAATGTCAATATGTTTGGTTGTGCAATATATGAGGATGATGGACATGACTCCGAGGAAGAATTGGAGACAACCACTTTGCATTTTCTGTGAGAAGAAACGCACGAAACCATCAACTTCTATTCCAAAGAAATTCACAATTGTTGCATAAATCTTGAAATGGTTTTATAATAAGAAATATTTATATTTATTTATGATTTTGTATAATTAAATGTGAATAAGAAAGATTATTCAATAAGAAAAATATATCAAAAATTTTATATAATTACAATATGTCTTTTTTTCTTAATTTATTTGTATTATTTATAAATTGAATTTTACATCGCTTCTTGCCCTTTTGCTCATAATTATATCAATAAATTCTAAAGAAATAGATAAAATTAATATTTCTAAAAGTTTCTTTTTGTACGGTTTTAAAGTACCCGATTAGTCCAAAACTATGCTATGTGTAGTTGTATTTTGAAAAACTATCTATCTTTAAGAAATGTTGAAATTATAAAAATTCTGATTTTGTAGCAGTATTCCTGGAAATATACACTCATAGTAGGATCTTATCCATCATATACTCTTAGGATGAAAACAATGACGTAAGACATAATGAATTTTCTAGAAATTCACAGTTAGAGGGGACAATTTAATATATTATGTGCTTCTGCACGAAAACTCAAAAGTATGAAAAAAATTATTAACTTTTATTCAATTAATATGAATTAATTAGATGCGTTTCATACATTTCAATATTGTTACTAGAGTGTAACTTTTCTCAAGAAATATTTCGCGGGAACAATTTTCGGGATCGGATAATCCTGGGATTTAATCTCTACCAATTGCACATAACAAGTTTAATATTAAATAAAATCGAAAAATTAGTGCAGTTATGAATCTATAAATTAAGCTAGTTTATAATTAGGTTTGTTATCACTAGTTTGATAATAAAATTACTTTAGACGAGTGTGCTTCGATAGTTATAATTTTACGTGAAATGTTTCTTCCTTAAATCGAAAATAATTTTTATAAAATCTATTTTTAAGTAAATATTTTTTTGCATAGATATTCTCTATATATTTTACTTGATGTTTTTACCCAGTGGCTAAAATTTGCTTATACACATGAATGTAAACATACAAATGCTTAGAACTGGACAGAATACAGTAGATAAAATCTAAATTGTTCACAGGTGAAATTATGTGATGAGAGTTTCCTTATGTAAATGTGTGCGTCTCCTTACTAACATTTACATATCAAAGTGATATTAGAGGCTCGGTTACATCATGTTTGATCATCTATCATCTAATTTGGGTTTCATGGCTTGAGTACCAAATAACAATCGACAACCGACCTATTGCACCCACCATCCGCTGTTTACCTTCCAGCTTCAGTCCAATCATTGAATTAAAGTTCTGTTTGAATTTACATAGCATTGTTACGTTTCGAACATATTTACACCTGATTTACGAATTGTGCACATTTGCATTGAACATTTCCAATCATTAGTATAATTTTTATACATAAATAATTCATATTTTCATAACATTTTTATAATTGTAACCAGAATATTATTGATTTTTTCTTAATATATTCGTAATATTTCACTTCAACCAATCATAAATAAACAATATTTTGATTGGTATTTTAAAACGTAAATATATTTACTTTTGATCATTTATGTTACATAAAATTTCGAATATTACGAAACTTGCGGATTACTTTTATATGATAATAAAACTTTTGTTATGTACAATGTAGTGATTATTAAAGAAATCAAGATATTATTATTTTTAATTTTTTATATATTTATATCTAAATATTATGTTATCGAATTATCATTTATAAAAGAAAAAACATAAAATCATATTTCAAAGGTGAATAAGTTGTTTGTTATTGCATTTGA